CATTTGACTTGCAACTTTGTGTTGAAAGCTGGAAATGAAGGGGTGCTAGGCAGGTGGCAGCAGCAGATCCAGTGGAGTGGTCAGGGCAGTGGGAGAGGGGGCAGGGGATGGCTGAGGCTTTTGGGATCTTTATGTAAAATATAAAATTTTGGAATGTTTGTTCTAGTTCTATGAAATGCATCGTTGGTATTTTGATAGGAATTGAGTTGAATCTGTGGATGACTTTAGTTAGTATGGAAATATTAATGATGTTAATTCTTCCTATCCATGAACACGGTACATGCTTTCACTTATTTGCATCTCTCTCAATTTCTTTCTTCAGTATCATATACTCATAATTTCTGAGTGTAAGTCTTTTAACTCCTTGGTTAAATTTATTCCTTATTTTTGATGCAATTATAAATGAGATTGTTTTCTTAGTTTCTTTTTCTGATAGTTCATTATTGGTGTATAAAAATGCCATTAATTTCTGACCATTAATTTTGTATCCTGCTACTTTACTAAATTTATTTATCAGTTCTAGTAGTTATTTATTTACTTATTTACTTATTTATTTTTTGTTTTTTTAGAGAGAAGAAGGAAAGGAAGAGAGAGATAGAAACATCAATGATCAGAATCATTGATTGGCTGTTTCCTGCATGCCCCACACTGGGGATTGAGCCTGCAACCTGGGCCTTGAGACTGAAACCTGAGCATGTGCCCTGACCAGGAATGGAACTGTTATGTCCTGGTTCTTTGGTTGACACTCAGCTGCTGAGCCATGCCAGCTGGGCTCTAGTAGGTTTTTGGTGGGGTCTTTATGATTTTTATATACAGTATCATGTAATCTTTAAATAGTGACACTTTTCCTTTCTAATTTGGATGCCTTTTATTTATTTCTAATGACTGATTGGTATGGCTAGAACTTCCAGTGCTCTGTTGAATAGGAGTGGTAAAAGTAGATGTCCCTGTCTAATTCCTGATTTTAAGGAAAATGCTTTTAGTGTTTGCCCATGAGTATGAGCATATTAGGCTTTTATTATATAGGTTAACTAATGACCTGTTGCATTTTGGGGCATACGAAAGTATCTCTTACTGAGTATAAAATATATCTTCCTTTGAGTTCAGCATGCATTCATTTACCACAGTGAGCCCCATGAGACCCTAGTCAGTTCTTCCAATCCATTTCTCTCTTTGATTGTAAAACTTTATCTGAACACAAGGGATAATGTTATATAGCCTCCACTCTAGACACATATGTCCTCAGGCCACAAAAACAAAGTCATTGGAATCCCACGGCAGTAACTGATTGTAAAGCCACTATCCCAATGATCTGGAATATGTCCATGGTTGTGGTTTGTTTTCAATATGACATTTCTGATAGAGACCCTTTAAAATGCATACACTGATCTTAGATTGAGAAAAATGTATATTTTGCCAAGATTTGAAATCTAACTTAACTGGGTTTGAATACTATGTGCGATGACTCATAACTCTATTCTTGCCAAGTTTGCTTAATATCTCTAAGCCTCAATATCTTAATCAGAAAGATGTCCTGGCAACGTTTCTGTGAAATCAAATGAAACCATGAATATAAACTTCCAACTCCTTAGACATTACCTCTGTTCTTTCAATTAATCATTAGGTTGACTTGAATATATTTTCTGCATGGTTCCCAAGTGAGCTATGTTACATATAGAAAAACCTAATGGAGAATATCATGTAATGTAATACGTTACATATTACTTTTACACACACACACACACACACACACACACACACACACACGGGGCTTTTTAAATGCATAATCTCATTTTTGAAGAATGTGGAAGTAATCAAACAGAAGTGGTTAGCATTATGAAAAGAAAGATATACACATTACAGAGACATGCTAGAAATATAGCCTACTCTGACAAAATTAAACCTCACTAGGCTAAAAGTTTGGAAAGTTTGTGCCTTAGCTTATTAGTCCCAATCTGACTTTTCTAATATTAAAGTGTTGATAGGGGTATTCAAGTTAAAGATTTTTCAAATTCCAGATTTGTTAAAGATCACAAAAGGGTCATATTTTATATGTACATCTAAAACAAGATTTATACACAATTATATAGGAAATAGAGTGAGTTCGATGTTAGCGTAAGTTCCTCCTCACTAAGAATTTCGTGATAAACTTAGTGTGGTTAAGGAATAGCTCAATAGCCTTCCTGCAGGTCAGCCTTGTCTACCTCAGAGACCCTACTTCTTGTCTGAAGCTACCTGGCTAGACCTCTCACAGCATACCTCAGTGTCTCTGTTACTATTACTTTTAGCCTTTCACTTGAAACCTGTATAATTTTACTAACCAATGTAATCCCATAAATTTAACTTTAAAAAAGAAGAAATAAGTGTATGGGACCTGAAGTCAAATGTTTGGATTTGAATTCTGGCCCAACAATTTACAAGGGCAAACCATTTAAGCTCTGAGCCTCATTTTCCTCATTAATAAAATGAGGGCACTAACAGTACCTATCTCAAAAAATTGTTGTAGCCCAGCTGGCATTGCTCGTGGTTGAGCATTGACCTATTAACCAGAAGGTCACAGTTTAATTCCCGGTCAGGGCACATGCGCAGGTTGTGGCCTCCAATCCCACGGTGAGGTGTGCAGGAGGCAGATGATCAGTGATTCTCTCTCATCATTGATGTTTCTCTCTCCCTCTCTGTTCCTCTCTGAAATCAACAAAATATATATTTTAAAAATTATTGTAAATATAAATGAAACTATAGAAAAACTTACTATGTGGTTCATGGAAATTTGGCAAATATTTTTAAAAAGAATTTACTGTTAGAATGTCAGGTGGATTTGAAAAAAAGAAAGAGACGTGGGTACATGGAACAGACTGACAGCTGTCAGAGGGAAGAGGGTTGGAGGACTGGATGAAAGAAGGTTAAAGAATTAAGCAAAAAAACATATATACATAACACATAATCACACCAGTTTGATAGTTGCCAGGGAAAATGGGGATCGGGTGGAGGTGGAGGTGGGCAAAGTGGGGGAAATGGGATAAAAAAGAGACTTTGCTTGGGGGGTGCATGACGCAGTATGCAGATGATATTTTATCAAGTTGAAACCTGTATGGTTTTGTAAACCAATATCACCGCAATAAATTCAGTTTAAAAAAGGCCCTAGCCAGTTTTTCTCAGTGGATAGAGTGTCAGCCTGTGGATGACAGGTTCCTGCATTCAATTCCAATCAAGGGCATGTACCTTGGTTGAAGGCTCCTCCCTGGCCTGGGCTTGGCTGGAGTGCATGCAGGAGGTAACCAATCAATGTTTCTCTCACATCAATGTTTCTCTCTGTTTTTCCCTCTCTCTTCGCTCTCTAAAAGATCAATGGAAAAAAATATCCTCAGGTAGGGATTAATAAAATAAATAAATAAATAAATAAATAAGGAAGCGATTGAAATATTATCTAATATTTAAAAAATAAGAATGATTGTATGATACTATTACTTTCTCAAGCACAGCGCTCTGTTCCTGCATTCTTCTCACAGGCATACTGTCCTTGGAGAACATAGCATTCTGTGGTACTCAAGGGCATCACAATATCATTTTGGCCATGTATGGTAGAAAATATGATCTCTCCTGTTAGCGGATTAAGAAGTGCCTATGGCATAAAATCTGAACGCCTCTCCCTAGAAGAATTAGATCTAAATATTAGATTCATTACGGTAATGTTTGCCTTTTCTGTTTGTCACACTGGAACTTGTTGAATGTGATCAAGCAAATGAGATGAAAACTGCAAACTCAGACAGGGTGGTAGAAGGTGAAGGACATTTCCTTCCTCTGACTCAATACTTGAGACCCCCTTTCCTGATCTCTTCCTCTGGGAAAACAAATAATTAGTCAGATACTCAAAAGAGATCTGTAGATAATGCTAACATCAGTCTAGATAGAACTGAAGTGAGCATTGTTCTATTATTACTTTTACTTAGTATTTGTTTCCTTTTCTCGTGTGTTTTGTGTTTGAAGCAAGAGATAAGAATGTAGGGGGAGAAGAGGTTAAGAAAAACAACTCACTTGCCCAGCAGGCATGGCTCAGTGGTTGAGTGTCTACCTCTGAACCAGGAGTTCATATCGATAGTTCGATTCCTGATCAGAGCACATGCCTGGGTTGTGGGCTCGATCCCCAGTGTGGGTTGTGCAGAATACAGCCAATCAATGGCTCTCTCTCTCACTGATATTTCTGTCTTACTTTCCTTCTTTTTTCCTCTCTGAAATTAATAAAAATACGTATATTAAAAAACACACACACAAAAAAATTACGTAAACATAGACTTTCTCATCAAACTTACATCATATGAAAAAGGATATGATGAGAACCCTATATAATAAAAAGTCTAATATGCTAAGTATCTGGTTGTGTGGTTATCTGTTCAACCAATCAAAGCGTAATATGCAAATAATATGCCAAAGCTCCTCAACCGCTCACTATGATATACACTGACCACCAGGGAGCAGACAGTCTACCAGACCCTATGATGTACACTGACCACTAGGAGGCAGATGCTCCGACTGATAGGTTAGCTTGCTGCTTGGGTCCGGCCAATCAGGACTGAGTGAGATGGGCCAGACACACCCTGAAGCCCTCCCATGGCCCCTCTCCAAATGGCCAACCTCCTGTGTCCCTTGCCAGCCTAGATGGTGCACTGGTGTGTCCCTCGGCCTGGCTTGTGCCCTCTTGAACCCAGAACCTTTGGGAGATGTCAAAGAACCGGTTTCAGCCCAATCTCACAGGCCAGGCTGAGGGGCCCCAGTGGTGCATGAATTTGTGCACCTGGCCTCTAGTAGAAGATAATAGAGAATAGGAATTTATAGAAGGCATATACATCATAAAAAGGAAGAATTCATCTGCCATATATTCTGTTCCTTATTATAACAACCCCTGTTCCTTTTTCATCTTACTTCTCTTTTTATTTTGTAATGTCCTAGATGGGAAGACAGATTTAGATTTTGCAAACTTGTGCTTTGGTGAGAATACAATTGAATTGCATTGTTAAGAAAGATTTTCAACACTCAGTGTGTCATTTCCTTTCTTCATGTATCAGATGCTGAAATACTATGTGATAAAGATTTTACATTTCAATTGTAAAAAGTGGGAAGTGGATAAATCAGTTCAGCAGTCTTTAGGACAAACAGTAAAGTAAGTTTATTTTAATGTTTTTTCAAAATTCTATTAATTATATGTGTCTTCTTTGTGTCTGGGTGTGTGTATAGGATATGTGAGATACAGGTGTATACATACAAAATCAATCATTTCTAGTAGATTTTTTTTTATTGTAGCACTAATAGTTTGGTTTAGTTGTTTCAATGATAATTTAAAAAAAGGAAACTTGTGCTAAATGTTCCATGAACGGACAGTATATGTGTGTACATAGATATATACCTAAAATATACTAAATACTTTGCAGGTTAAACTGGTAAGAAATTTTGAGCATATAACTGTATATTTTACTGAAAAATATCAGCTTTATTAAAAATATGATTAAACACTTTAATTGGACACATTTCCTTAATTTTCACATTATACTTGTGGCTTTAATATCTTTTATTAGCATTACATGCTTATGTAGGAACTATTGGTTGTGTATATATGCACTTCACTAGACTAGTTATAGGGAAGTATACACTCAAAATATAGAATACACAGTTACTATCTTCAGGAAGTTTATGATTTAACTTGAGCATCTTGATATGATATGATATATGATATAATATAATATAATATAAATATAATATAATATAATATAATATAATATGATATAATATAACAACATATAATTTAGGTACATTGACTAGTGTGAAAGTGTACAGACAACTACTATGGGAATATAGGAAAGGCCAAAATTACTTCAAAGAGAGAAAGAACTATTAAAAACATGTTCATGAATTTGTTAGAATTTAGATTCATCTTAAAGAATGGGTAAGTGTTCTCAGATAAAAAAAAAGTTATAGCACTCAGATTATTAATGTTTTATGCAATAGTTAGAAAGCTGATTTTCTGGAAGTACACACAAATCTAAGCTTCCTCACTCATTAATTAGTTATACAAAACTTTTATGTCTTGGCTTTCTTGCCTTGTACAATGGAAACAATGCTGCTCTATACCTCATGAAGCTGCTATGAGGATAAAATAGAAAAGGTACAGATAAAAAGGCATTGTTGTTTTAAAACAAAGTGTGATTAATTTTTTTTTATGGTTGTCCGTGTACCAGGCAATTTACAAAAATTATTTTAAATCCTCAAAATAAATATTTAAATTATAATAATATCTTACATATATAGAGAAACTGCAATAAAATAAATTAAAATTCTTGTCAAAGGTCACATAGTTCAGAAATTGCACAACCAATATTCAATCCTAGACTTTATGTATTTTAAAAAAGATACCATTTTCCCTTCACTACCAAGAATGAGCATCAGTAGTACCAGGCACAATATAGTTGTTTCCATTTCTTACCTTAATCCCTTTTATGGATACATTTCTTAAGTGTAGAGCTATTGGTTTCTCAAATATGTTAGTTATTTTCATTCTATACATATTTTTTTAACTTTTAATGCAAAATCAAAGTTTTTATTAATAATAAAAGTTACAAAGTAATTATTTACCCCAGATCTTAAGGATATAGTTAACCTTAATCATTTGATGACAAATATGAATAGGGAACAGTCTTAGAAGGAAGTCTGCATAAAATATATATTGCTTTAAAGAGTTTATTCATATCTATATAAAGATCTCCTGATATGAATACACAAAACCCAAGAAGAAAAATAGTTATAGCAAATATCTCTTACAGACTAATAACAAAAAATATAAGAAAAGCCACCATGGTATTAACTCTTATCAAAGTCAAAATGATTCTAAAGTAAATATTATTACTGAATAGTGGTGAATTTGGTTTTAATACTACCATACTTATATTTGTCTGTAATCTTTGTAAATTTGTATGATCTTTATAAAGAGCAGTTAGACAGTAGATATCAAGAAGTTTAAAATAGTTTTTCTGCTAACTCGTAGTTTTAACATACAATGAATTATCCTAAAATAACATTTCAAAAGAAGACAGATATTATGAAAATATTTACATTATCTATATTAGTAAATATTGTCCTCTAAAGGAGAAGGGAAAAATTAAAAATAATCACATTATAGAAAAATGACTATATGAATAAGATTCATATATTTACTGAGTTGTTATGTAGCCCATGATTATAAATTAAAATAATTTGAAATATAACATATTGATATGATTTTAAGGGAAATATATAAGACCAAATGGTAATGTCATTATAAATCAACTAAGTAACATGGATATTTAGGTACAAAACTCAAAATTTATGTAAAAGTGTGAAAGTATATTTTTTTTATATTAGGACAAAGAATGATAGAAACTTTCCTTTAGTTTACTTCAAACATTGTTATCATATTTTTATAATAAAAACAATAGGAAAAACGTAAAAGGCATGTTTCCAAACAAGTTAACATTGAAATTCTTTCACGTGGGTTTCCCGTGGCAGCTTCTGTAAACTTTTCACGCACTTTACCAAAAGCTGATATTGCAGAGATGTGTTTCACTTCCCATGAGAACATGCTTTTAATAGATTATACAAACTCAGAAAATTTCACAGTCCTTTGTCAGTGCATTGATAATTTGGCTGGAATGATAACTTTATGTGAAGTTACTTTTCCTCTTAACCTTGGAAATAACATTTAAAGGCACATTTGAATTGCATAAATTGTGAACTGGCTGCTAACTTCATATGTATATGTTCTTTAAAATTATTTAAAAATCACAATAATAATAATACAGTAAAAAACTGAAGTAGCCCTAACTGGTTTGGCTCAGTGGATAGAGTATCTGCCTGTGTACTGAAAGGTCCTGGGTTCGATTCCAGTCACGGGCATCTACCTTGGTTGTGGATACATCCCCTGTAGGAGGTGTGCAGGATGTTTCTAACTCTCTGTCCCTCTCTCTCCTCTCTGTAAAAAATCAATAAAGTATATATATATATATTTTTAAAAAAGAACTGAAGTAATCTAGTAAATCTAATTAATGTGTTTGAGGCAAAATGGGAACTTTGAGGTTGAAATGTTTTGTTTCAGTTTCCTATTTACACACAATTCAGAGAAAACATTTTCATTTTCCAACGTATAAAACAACTTTAAAAATTTCCACAATGGTGAAATACAAACTTTGCTTGAGGCATAATCTTACATATGAAACCTAGTCATCTTGCAAAAAACAGTCTTTCATTTATTTTATGAAATTTCTTATAATGTATATGTATGTAATTGGAATCTACCAACTGCAAGGAACTTTCTGGTCATTGAACTAAAGAGATAAACACTCCTGAATCATAGATCTAACTTTTGTGAAAGGAGACAGAAAATAGACATGATGAATAAGAAAAATGTATTTCATATCAGTTAGATAGTGAAAAAAAATTTTTGAAGAACAAACAAAAAATTAAGCCAGGAAGGACTTGAGGAAGTGAAAGAGATACGCTGTAATTTTACAAATGAGGCTCAAGAAATGTCAGTCTTTCTAAGAAAGTGAGGTTTTCATGAGGAGCTGAGTGAGATGGGAGAGTGTCCACAAGTTTTGAGCAGTGGAGTGACATGATCTGACTTGCTTTGTGAGAGGAACACTCTACAGGTAGTATGGAGAATAAGTAAGCATATACAATAAAATGGAAAGAGTAAGAGTGAAGCTGAGAGGCAAGTTGAGAAAGATGATGGGACTCCAACCAGGATGGCAGAAGGGAACATGACAATAGATTGGATGTGGAGTATGAGATAAGGAAGACCCCGAGGTTTGGGCCAAAGGGAAATCCAAGTTGCGATGCTGTAAGACCACTGCATGTACTAGTAAGGTCGGGAGTTAAGAGGAGAGTTCTGGGCAACAGGCATCAATGTAAGAGTCATTAAGCAGCCTTCAAGTTTGTATTTAAAGCAGTGGCTAATGAGAACACCGAGGGAATGAATAATACAGAAAGAGGACAAGAACTGAGACATGGCACAATTTAATGTTAAGTTGGGAGATGAGGAAGAATAAGGAAGGAAAAATAAAACTTCCCTCGATGTACTATCTCAGTCCAATCTTCAATATCTCTTCTCAATATAAGAGCATGAACATGACCAAATTTCTCGTTTACATACTCAAGGCCTATCATTTTTATACATTTATTGTTTCTTGATTTCTCAAGAATCTGCTTCTCTACCATATAAGCAAGACAAACTCCATGGTAGCAAGAAGCTTATGGATGTTCTTACATGCCTTGGAATTCTTTGTCCTATTTCATGACTGGACTTCTTCTAGTATAGTGTCAAAAGTGATTCCTTACCCTTAATGCTGATTCTTCTTCCTTTACTTGGTCATTAAATATATTTGTTCTCAAGTTTTGTTCTCCACATTTTTTCCTGAAACATATTTTCTGTTTGATATTTTTCTCCTAGTATTTGTTAAAGTGTTATATTTTGATGCTTGCTCACCAAGTTTTTTCATTTCCTTCTCTTTTTAAATATCTCTTGGATTCTCCCCTTTCATTGCCAACTTCATTTTGTTACCCTAGGAGCCTAGCTGGGGTAGAGAAAAAGGAGCTGAAATTTAAAAAAAAAAAAAAATTGGAATAGAGTGGAAGGAATGGAGGAGGAAGTTAGGAGTTGCCATGCAATCAGATATGGGTCTGGTGGATGAGAGTGAACTAGAATAGACCTTGGCCTTTGGGTGAAGTGACTATGCTTGGCTAGCATCTCTATTTATCTTTACATCTGACTTTATCATGTGTTTCTCTCTGCATAAAAAATAGAAATGAATTATTATAATAAACAGATGATATAAAGACATATGCCAACACCAATAAACCTGGGAAGAATAAAAATTAGGTTGATGTGGAAAACACACTGTTGTAGCTAGTTGTATTATTTAAAGAAATGATTCTGAGCTGGATCAGAAATAAGATCACAGCTGGATATATGTATATGTATAAGTGTAAGTATATATATATATATATGTATATATATATATACATATATATATATATAATGTAATATATATATATATGTATATATATATACATATATATATATATAATGTATCTGATAATTTATATATTAGCCTTTTTTATTGGTGCATAAGATCTTTGGAGCTTGAAAATGTTCTATACACATTGATCTTTGCTGTCTAGTGACTTGCACAATATAAGAGGTGATGGTACATGATAGGAAATTGGAGTAGCCTACATGAAGGAATAGGTTAAAGTTATTGATTGAAAAATATCCCAATACTTATCATCATATATAATAAAAGTCCTATATTATTCTAAGTGTCCTGTCTACCAGTTGGCTCTTCAGCCAATCAAAGCATAATATGCTAATGATATGTTAAGGCAGCTCAACCTCTTGCTATGACATGCACTGACCTTCAGGGGGCAGATGTTCTGACTGGTAGGTTAGCTTTCTGCTGAGGTCCTGCTGAGCAAGAGGGGCTGGACATACCCAGGAGCCCTCCTACAGTCCGTCCCTGGCTGGCTAACCTCCTGCTGACTGAGGGTAAAGCCCATCAATTTGTTTTTAATCAAGCCTTTCAAATGATTCTGATGAATTTTTAAGACACATAGGTATAGATTGTATCATAGAATATGGATTGTGCTTTAAAAGGTACAAGGATAGCCCAGCCAGTGTGGCTCAATGGTTGAGCGTAGGCCCATGAACTAGGAGGTCATGGCATCAATGTTTCTGTCTCTCTATCTTTCTCCCTCCCTCTCTCTCTGAAAAGGTACAAAGACATATTTATGATGCTGCCAGTGTATAATGAGGACTCCTGAAAAAGAAGTAAATAAATACAAGTAAGAAAAAGAAAAACCAAAATTAAGTTTTTTTCTGTAATTCCTAACCTAGTGATTAGATTTTTTTTCTGCCCAAAATGATAAACAGATGCCTTGACAAAAGAAAAACTGGCTCATAAAGTTCTGATAAAAGACCATGGAAATATGTACAAGTGTATGTAGAAAGATACATGAGTAGGTCCTATGTAAGTCTATCTTACTGTTACAATGAAAACTTATTGATATGTATGGTAGATATGTAAATTTAGTTAGTTAATTATGTTTTCTTGCTCAAATTGAGTTTTAATTCTAAAATTCAGTTGGAAACATTATGCCAAAGGGTCCTAAGCATTTTGTGTGTAATTAATGTTTTTCCATGTGTTTAATAGAGGGATGGCACAGTGGGATAGCTTTCCTGATCAAGATGGGGACACTGACAGCTGCTCAGAATCTGTGAAGTTTGATGCTCGATCCGTGACAGCTCTGTTACCTCTGAGTAAGTAGAGGAAGGGCTGGATCCCAGGGAGGATGTCCTTAAGAGTTGTTGACACTATGTAACATTAGTCTTGTAGCTTACCTTAAATGTGTATGAATGTTAAAATAAGACTTAATTGATAAGCAGGTATTTCCCTGTCTTGAGAGAGAATACAAAATAAATTGAAGTAAGGAAACATTATAATATATTAAATTAATCTGAGATTGATTGAGTTATCTGATTTCCCAGCCATGGACTAGGTCCTGGAGATGTCTTTGATTGTAGCAGTATGAGGGAAGGAGGGTGGGTGGGAAGAGATTAACCAAAGAATTTATATCACATATGTGCATAACCCATGGACACAGACAATAGGGTGGTGAAGGCCTAGGGGGGAGGGGATGGGCTAGAAGGGTCAATGGGGAAAATAAAGGGTACATCTGTATAACTTATTTTTTTGTGTGTGTGTTTTTTTCATCTGTATAACTTTCAACATCTGTATAACTTTTTCATCTGTATAACTTTTTTCAATAAAAAAGAAACACATAGGTGGTTGGTACTTATATTAGTTTCCTGTGGCTGCACCCACAAAGTAGGTGCCTAAAACAACAGACATTTATTCTCTGACACTTCCAAAGGCCAGAAGTCTAAGTCAAGGTCTCAGCAAGGCCATACACGCTTGGAAAGCTCTTAAGCTCAGAATATTTTCTTGCCTCTTTCTAGCTTCTAGTGACTCCCGGTAATATTTAGTACCGCCCCTTTACTTGTAACTTCATCACTGCAATCTCTGCCTCCATCTACACATGGCCTTCTCTCAGGGTGTCTCCAAGTCCTCTTATCCTAAAGATATTAATCAATGGATTAGGCCCCACCCTAATGCAGTACGGCCTCCCTTGAACTTGATCATATATACAAACACCCTTTTCCCAAATAAGTTCACATTAGTTTTCAACAAATATCTTTTTGAGAAACACAATTCAGCGCGTAACAGTCCTGAAACAGATGCTTGTTCAGGGTACCAGAAGACTTCAAAAGAAGAAGTATTTGACTGTATCTAGATAGGTCCATTTAATGTGAGGATGGAGATGCTTGAATTCTGCCAAGCCTTAAGTATTTACCAGGTGCTGAGGTGGGTGGGGGAGGAGACATAGAGATATTTCAATTAGAGGAAGCAGCAAATGCAGAGTTACAGGATTGTATATTAATTCATACATAGAAAAACCTGAAATACAGACCACAACTGCAAGACACGATAGATCTTATATGCTGTGTTCACAATAGATGATGAGACACCAGTGAGACAAGAAAGAGAACAGTAAAAGCTTTTAAAGGTGGAGATGTTGAGAGACTGAGGAAGGAGAACAGTCAGTGGGAACAGAAAAAAGGCAAAATAACAAAAACAAAAACAAACACACACAATAACACATTTGAGAGTTTTTAAATGGCAGCCTATGGATAATTTGTGATTATAAACTGGAGGCTTGGAGATGATGACTCCTGGGTCTCAGGCTTAGTCCACCTGGTGGATGGAATACCCCATCTTGCTTGTATTGTGGGTTGTTCTTTTTCCTGAGAATCTATCCTTATTTTTTTAATGTTTTTATATTTCTTTTTTTACTTTTCTTATATTTCTTTTGTTTCGTTAGTCTCCTCACTTAAGGACATTTTTCCATTGATTGTTTTTGTTTGTTTGTTTTCATTTTATTGTATAAGGTATTATAAATAGTAGTACATATGTCTCCTTTTTTTCTTTTTTCCCCATTTTTCCCTCCTCCCCTATCCTCTGGCACTTGTCCTCATCCTCCCCCTATCCTGCTCTTCCCCCTTCCCCCCAGTGTCTTGTGTCTGTTGGTTGTGCTTATATGCATGCATGCAAGTCCTTTGGTTGATCTCCATTGATTGTTTTTTAGAGAGAGTAGAAGAGAGGGGGGAAGACAGAGAGAGAGATTGATGTGAGAGAAACACATGGATTGGTTGCCTCCTGCCCAAGCCCCAACCAGGGCTCAGACCTGAAGGAGCCTGCAATCAATGTACAGGCTCTTGACTGGAAGGGAACATGGGACCGTTTGGTCCGTAAGCTGATGCTCACTCAACTGAGCAAACCAGCTGGGGCTTAACTTTACTTCCTAATTTTTTTTCTCCTTTTCCTTTTCTTTCCTCATAGAACATTACTGAGAACTGTCTGAACTTTTGTTTTTAATTTTGAAGTTTACAACCTGAAAATAAAATTTACTTTTTTTAGGAAACTGAGCAACAAGAGCAATGGCTATAGGAAAAATATTTTAATAAATGGTTTTATTAATTTGATAAATGTCTTCCTCTTCTATTGAGATTCCTTCTACACAAAGTTATCTTTTCCATAATTAGTACCCATTATGTGAATCACTGTTTATTTAAATTAATAATACTGAAATGTTAATATTTTCTAATATATACAGAGGATGAACTTCATTGATTTATTTCAAAATTTAGTCAAAATGTGAATATTTCGTTTACTTCTTATTTTACATCTTATTCACATCATAAGAGGTATCCAAATACAAAATTATAGAGATTGGATTTTTAAAAGAAAATTGTACTAGTATAATCATCATAGAAAATAAATGTTTCTATCTGACTTAATATAAGAAAAAAATCATAATTACATAGTTACTTGGAGGGGAGGAGGTATTTTCACCCAGAATATATTCCCATATGAAACAGAAGAATAAAATTGTTTGCATATGTTGGTATGAATATTAAGATGTATCAACCAGTGGCCCCAAATGAGACAAGTACAAACTGTAGAAGATACTCACTTAGTGCATGGTAAGTAAATCAAAATGTCTGCAGTGATGCCAATATTGGCTTAGACTGTGATTGTCCCTTTTTCTTCCTACTGAATAAACAAAGACTTATCCCCTGTCCCCCTCTTTAAATTTAAATAAGCTTGGTAGTTACAGGTCATAAAAATTGTAATTGAGTAAGAGTAAGTTTTCTAACAACAGTTTGGGCTTTTGTTTTTTAGGTTTTAAAAATGGCCCTGCCTTTCCAAAGAAACTGAAGTCCGTCAAAGCTGCCCTGATTGCCCTTTATCTCCTTGTGTTTATAGTCCTCATACCTATCCTTGGGATACTAGCAGGTACAGTATTCTAGAGTTCTGAAACCCAGCAGCTCAGCAGGTGACTTAGTTGCTATAAAAGCAAAAGAGAAGCACTCAGTCTTTTGTATTTGGGAGATTCATAAGGTAAACATCATATCACAAAGTGTTCCTCAAATTTATTAAATGAAAAAATGGATTCTTCAAAGTTACTACCCTGTTTCCCCGAAAATAAGACAGTGTCTTATATTAATTTTTTCTCCCAAAGTTGCGCTAGGTCTTATTTTCAGGGGATGTCTTATCTTTCCATGCGTTAGGTCTTATTTTCGGAGGATGTCTTATTTTCAGGGAAACACGGTAAGTCAAAAAATAGAAATAATGAAATAGAATAGGAAATTAAATATTAAGATAAAAATATAGCTGTGGAAAGGATTATTTCAAAAATAGATTATCCTCTGAAGTCCTATAGACGTCTAGCGGTGAGTCACAAATTTCAAGCTAAGTATTCTAGTTGCCAATGTGAAAATATGAATATGACCATTTACATTAACAATGCCTAAAATATAAAAGCAAGCCAGTTTTTTGGGTAAAGATCTACTCCTAATATTGAGAGCATAAAGAAATATTCCTATAGGTCTTAAAAAAAAATAGTGGCCTACACGTCAGTAATATCTTTACAGTTTATATAGCCACATATTTCATAAAGCCATTATTTAAAACATCTCTAAACACTAGAACACTTTACTTGGGCTCAACATAACATTTTCCAGGTACATATTTATTTGGAGAGTCTGACTTAAATTGGGGATAAATCTGAGGGTTTCTATAGAGGTGTCTTGCATATAACTCAGTGAAATCTGTAAATATTATTCCCCTCAGAAACATTTTTTTTATGTATTTGATTGGCATTTGCTTTTATATACCGTGTAGCTCTCCTTTCTCTATGACTGAAGACATGTCTGGGCATATGATATTCTAAGAGATAGGCTGGGAGTAAGATACATTTTTTGTGCACACACTAATCAGCTTAACAAGAAAGTGCTCCTAAATACAAGGCCAAACCTTCTCTGCTAAGAAGCAATCTAAAGGAATATTCCAAGACAGAGCCAAAACTATGCTAAGAAAGAAATGATAATAAAACAACAATTGTAACTGTAGCTATCGATTTTAGGCACTCACTATGTTCAGGCGCTGGGCTATAAATTATCCACAGATTGTCTAAATACACCTTTCCAGTTACCCCCTAGTAGGCATAAATTCACCCTCCTTACCCACAAAAAAATCTGAGCGTGTTCAGTACTAGAGCTGCAGTTCCCACCCATACACTTGACTCCTAACCTCTGTGTCCTACTGTCTTCCAGGGTAATTGGGTTTTTAGCACAAAATATGATTGACCAATAAAAAAACAAAGAAGCGTTGCTGTAATTTTAGCGAGGAAAATATTTTTTCCCCAGATAATGATCAACTCCTATTTTGGCCATTAGAAACAAAATAAGAAACGAAACCAACAAGAAACGAAACCAGTCACTCACTCAAACCAACCACAACCATCTAAATAAAAGAACCTAGTTATCTCTCATGAAATGAACTTCCTGATGAACTCAGGTTATCTGTATGCTGTTTATAAACATGCTTATCTGTAGTTGGAAAGACATAACAGAAAGATACTTTATTGTTTGGGATTATTAGCAATTTGCCAGTTATGATTGGGTTAATTTAATTGCCTTTATACAACCATGGTCTGTAGCGCCAACCCAAGAGTGCAACTACTTTCTAATAGGCCAGTGTAGAATGTGGACTGAAGTCTGAAAAGAACTCGGGGTTCTCAGCAAGTTCAGGATCTCTGGGCTATTAGAAAATACTATCCAGTCAACACAGTTAATTTAGGGTTGACAATGATTTATCTGAAGTGGTTTTGTTTACTAAAACTATAATAGTACCTATGAAGATTGATGAGAAGTTTAAAATGTTCAAATCATATGCTCATGTTAGCACCCAAATTCATAAAAATAGGGAAATCTTGCCATGTCTATCACTCTTGAATAATAAACAATTGATCATCCATTTACAACTTTAATTAAGTTGTAGATCAGAATATATTCCAAAAAAAGAACTAAAATGCAATACATATCTCTACTGATACCAAAAAATTATAATTATAGACCAAATATATCCCTACTAAAATAATAGTAATCACTTTGTTTTGGCAAATAAGAGTTGGTGAGTGAAGTAAAATGTTGTACATAAAGACTCTGCTTAAATTTAAAGTGTCATATTCATAAAAAGATATTCCTTAATTTTAAAATCTATTCTATATGCTATCTTTTCTTTAAGAACCTACTGGATCACTGGCTTAATAGAACAGCATAATATTTCTTCACAATCAAATATAACTCAGTATCAATGTATATAAATTGCCACTGAAATATTTTATATTCTTTAGCTCATAATAATATAGGTTTTTGGTAGGAAAAGGTATTACCAACACAAAAGAGTAAATGTGATCCATGGAATCAAATATAAGTCTCCCTAGGCCTTTAACACAAGTCCTAAAATCTTGTCTCCTTTAAGTGTGAAATAGAAAAGTAAAAAAAAAATGCCATCTCTCCAATGATAGTGAGATAAATAAAGATCTGAAAATAGGAACTCTTGCGTTCTTTACCTAGATTTATGATACAAAATTAAACATTGCTAAAAAATGTAGGGATCAAATTAGTTCTCATTCAGAATTCAGGGAAATAAGAACTGTTTTGTTTTTAAATATATTAATAAAATGTAACCTTTATTGTCAATCCATGTTGAACTTGATGTCAAATAAAAAAAAAACTTTGGTCATATGACATTTTGTTAAATCAAGTGTCTCTCTTATATTGTGAACAAGAGTTGCTTTACTTATATAATATAGAAATTTTTTCCAGTATAAGTAAAATTACATGATTGAATAATTATATCCATATGCCTAATAAAAAGAGATTACTGTACTCATTGCAATATGGAACTTCCTCCAGTCTTTTGTATTACACAATATTAATTGCCCCTAATTATCAATGATGTGCATATGGATGCGCGTCACAAGCACTGAATCCAAAATATTAATAATAACAAAAAAGCTGAAACTTGCCAAAAGCTTATTATGTGCCAGGATGTATTCTAAAGACCTCACATAAAATAGCTCATTTAATTATTTGAACACTGACTATTCATACCCCATTTATATAAAAGTGAAATGAAAGCATTGACACCTTATTTTGCCCAAGGTCACAATTTGTAAAGGAGAGAGCAAGAATTGCTAACCCAGTTCTAATTTAGAACCTGAATTCTTAATTAAAAAACAACAATAATAATCACTGTAAAAGGAAAATTTTAAGGGACAACTTTGAATTTCAGTCTATCTTATTCCCAGTGTTTTATACTTAGTAGGTGCTTAATAAATAAATCATAGTATTGATGAATTCATAAACGAGGCTGTCAATCCAAAAATTACTCCTCACACTTAACTTAATAAATGGGATAAAATCTTAGTAAGAAATATACTTTTTTTGTCCAACTTGTTGATAAATTAAGAAGTATAAAATTATGCACACTTAAAATGGCCTTTGTTGTGGATCATATAAAAATGTAGTCACATTTCGCTTAATTGTAAAGAGAATGTAACTAGGACAATAGGATATAATGTGTGTTTCTAAAAATTGGGATTTAAGTGCATATACTATATGCCTTATCTCATTCATCCTTAGTATTACTGTTGAGATAGTTACTATTTCTAGATCTTTGTGAGGACTTAAGCATGGAGAAGATAAGTAACTTGCCCAGAGTAACCCAACTAATAATGAGAAGTATAGCTAGAATCCAGAATCAGGCAATTTAATCCTGTGTAAACACCAACGTCTTATTTAGAAAACAGGTATCCTGAGCTAAGGGTGAAAACTAAATGTTTTCTCATGTGTTATTTCATTTAATTCTCACAAACCTATAAAGATGATACTATTGCTATATAATTTTTACTCAGAAAACTCACAGATCAGGTACAACTGATTATGCAGATATATTTTTAAACTATGTGAAGTTATTTTTTTATTGCTTAATAATGGTCAGATATGGAAAAATTTATATAATAAAACAAATATAAATGAAGGACATATTTATGTAGATAAAAGGTATAAATGATGGAGAAAAATATATAGAGATATGAAAAAACAAGAAAATCTTAACCATCACTGGTTAGTGGTAAAATGGTATTTAATGTTTTCTTTATTTTATATAAATATGTATTATTTTATCTGCAAAGTTAATGTTTATGCTTTTCATTTCTTGAAATTCTAAGCATATTATATTGCTGTAGGTCATTTCAGAAGGATAATTAGCTTGTTTAGAGAATATATGTCCATTTGGAAGTACATATCCTCAGCTCTACATGTCCCAAAAATATAATCTTGCTTTTGTAATAATAATATGATAGTGAAAACGGAGAGTCAGATTTGATATATATACACCAAAATGTTAGCATTTAACTTGGAAGAAGATCAATGTTAAATAGTTTTTTCTTATTATTCATCTTCTCTAAATTTTTGCTATGAATAAATATTTCATAGTAGATAAAGACTAAGCTTAGAAAAACAATACCTTTTAAAGTAAGAATATTATTTGCCCAATTTTTTGTTCCACCAACTATAAATTAGGCCTGTGTAAACTGAAAATGACAATTCTTAATGATAAGATGAGGAAGATGAACCAACAATTTATTCATAAACTTATTAGTAAATAGTACTAATTTATTAGTAAATAGCACTAATACTTCTACTTTACAAACTTTATTGTTATTATCATCATATATCTTAAAAGAACTAGTATATTCAACATGCTAACTTCAGATACTCTGAAGTTATTTTATCTTAATGACAGACCCAAGGAGTAGGGTTCAATGCACTTTATAATCTGTGAATCTCTCTTACTGGGAAAGCCAAATGCAATGGTCCAGGAGATCCTTACAAGCAGCAATTCAAAAAGAATGGCTTAATCCTGGAATAAATTCTAAAGTAAATTGGGAATAGGAGACTGTCACCCTCTCAGCAATATACCTACTGTGGTTCATACATGTCTATTTAAAATAAATACCTGATTTGGGATAGCATTCAGAATGTTAGAATGGGATGATATACTGGTATGCATCTAAGGAGCCAGGCCATGACTCTGCTTATATTTTCTTAAATACATAGCTCAACTCCTAAAATGGGAAAGGAAGAATTGCACAGTTGGTTCAATGAATGCCAGTGATTCATCTCAGAGTCTGATGGGAAAAGGAAATGACCGTGAAGAGGATATAAAATTCCGAGAAGTTGTCACAGGAAACTTGAGCAGCATGGAGAAAAGAATCCACTATATTTCAGATGCACAAGCCAATCTCATAGATTCAGAGCATTTCCAAAATGTCAGTGCAATGACTAATGAAAGATTTGATGATGTTCTTCTCCAACTGAGAACCGTGGCTTCCTCAGTCCAGGAACATGGAAATGAAATAGACGAAATCTTCAAGTCATTAATAAGTCTGAACAGCACATTACTTGCTTTGCAGCTCAGTATTGAAACACTGAATGGCAAAGTCCAACAGAATGCAGTTAAACAACAAGAGGTAAGAACTTTCCTATTGGAAGGCAACATGCTGATACTGAATTCATTTAGCTCCTATCTCCGCATTGGAGCAGGAGATCAAACGTTATAAACCCTGATTGAACATCATCCTACCTACCTAGATTCCATTCAGAAACTTACCAGGTCTCAACCTAGTTTCTTTTCCAGATTCCCAGCAAAAAGGAAAACATTTTTCCATTGGATATAGCCTCTCAAGGTATTTTAGTATAATAAAACCTGGTAGAGTAGCTCTTGTGGCTGCCTAAACCAATTATGATTTTTAGATTACCTTAGCAGATCTGGGGAGGTGGGCACTCTGTAAATTTTACAATAGACCCCCCATTTATCCTCATCCTTCACATGGATAACCTAACAAACCTAGTTTAAAATAGTTACTTTGTCACTCTTAGGAAGTATACGTAACTTTTATGTGTAAATTAACTATAATTTAAAAATTAAAATTTGAATGTATTATCATAATAGCATCAAATGTACAAGACAAAAGAGCAGGATATATTCTAGACCAATTGCCAGCAAAAGTTTCTTTTTAAAGGGTCAGATAAATATTTAGCTTTGGGACTACATGGTCTATGTCAAAACTGCTCCACTCTGTGATAAAAGTAAAACAAAGAAGCAAAACATTATCAAAATAGATAAAAAAGGTTTGGAAGATCAGCAAGAGAAAAGGCCAATGCACAACAGAAAACCAAGAAAAGACTTGAAAGAAAAAGTAATAAAGAAAAATATAAAAAAAATTTATGATTTGGTATTTAACTTTATCATAGTTGAAAAGCAAATTAAGTATTAAGAATTTATTGTGTCTACTTTTACTCTGCCAAGGGAAATATATTGATAATGCCAAGAATTTAGGTGCAAAAAGTAGGCACTAATGTACAATTAATAAGATTTTTAAATGATATCAAGTATTTGGATGACAGGGTGAGAGTATTGAACAAAAATTTTAATATTTACACACTTGGATCAGATTCACTTTCAGGAAGCTGTCTTATAGAAACACACACATATATATAAAATGATGTTCAGCCCAGCCAGTGTGGTGCACTGGTTGAACGTTGACCTGTTGACCTATGAACCAGGAAGTCATGGTTCCAATCTCAGTCAGGGCACATGCCCAAGATGTGGACTTGATCCCCAGAAGGGGTCATGCAGAAGGCAGCCGATCAATGATTCTTTTTCATCATTGATGTTTTTATCTCTCTCTCCTTCTCCCTCTCTGAAATCAATAAAAAATTTTCTAAAGATGTTCATTATAGCATTATTATTCAGGTCCAGCTGAAACTCTAATAGGAATCAAATAAACTATGAAAAATAGATACAGTATAATTCTACTAAATTATTAAATATAAGTCAGCCTCTCAGTATTATAATAGGTACATATACTATTGAATAAAAAATTAAATATATTATTGAGTAAAAAATTAAAGCATGTCCCAGATCAAACAAGTACTATCTCGCTTGTTCACAATCTCTCTATACTAGTATATGCATATATGCATGCAGGTATTAAATGCCATTAAAATCAAAATAATAATGAAATCTCAAATACAGAGGCAATAAAAATTAAAAATAAGATATTGTTAATATGCTAGTTGAGATTATATTGAATATGAAAAGCGATCCTGAATGTTCATTTCCACTGGGAAATATGGCACTAAACTTTGTTACTGATATAAAATAATTATATTTTCAAATCTGTCAAATTCACAGAATTGGAATACTAAATTTTACTATAAGTACAGTATAAAAAAGCCTTACTTGAGATAAATTAAAAACCATATCACAAGTGTTTTAAAGTTGTTTGTGTTTTGACATCTGTATATTTGGAACTAGAATACCTTAGATATATTCAACTAGGTGGGAGCAGGGCAGAGGGTGTGAATATTCAGTTGTTCAGTCAAAAGAGGAAATGATTAAAACCAAAGAATCTTTTAAAATGGTTCTCTAATTTTTGTATTCTTATTCCATAATATTCTTGTAATATTATATGTATTTTTTAAAAGCCTGGCTTCCAGGATTTCTTAAACTTACATATTTTATAAATAATGGTGTAACAAAAATTGTGGATGCTTGCTTATGCTTCACAGGAAAGGACTAAATTAGAGGAGCGAGTGCACAATGCATCAGCAGAAATTATGTCTATGAAAGAAAAACAAGCACTTTTGGAACAGGAAATCAAAGGAGAAGTGAAACTGTTGAACAACATCACTAATGATCTTAGACTGAAAGATTGGGAACATTCTCAGACACTGAAAAATATCACTTTAATTCAAGGTAAAATAACTTCTCTTTCTTCCAGAAAATGATATATTAAAATGTAATGATACACATGAGATTTGATCTCCAAAATCCTATGACTTAAAATAGTTTTTGAGCAGCAGAAATCGGTTTGGCTCAGTGGATAGAGTGTCAGCTTGTGGACCGAAAGGTCCCAGGTTCAGTTCCGGTCAAGGGCATGTACCTTGGTTGCAGGCACATCCCCAGAGATGTTTCTAACTCTCTATCCCTCTCCCTTCCTCTCTGTGAAAAATCAATAAAATATATATTTTTTAAAAATAGTTTTTGAGCATACATTTACTACAAATATCTAGAGAGAAATCTTCAGATCATATTAGATCCTGGTAAGGTAACAGTATCCTGGTATCCTTTAAATAGTAAGAGATAAGTTCTAATGAATCATTATCCCAAGTTTTCTGTAAGGCACAAAGTTCTCTATCTGTCTATAAATCAAGCTTGTTAATTCTCTTTTTCAAAACTTCCAGATTCTTTCTTATATTTTACCCTATTGTATTATTAATTAGAAAAGTCTTTGAACTCTCCGTAATAAGTGAATTTGTTCATTTCTTTTTCATTGGTTTGTAAAGCAAGGTAAATTTGCAAATTAATATTTTTACACTAGTTTCTAATTAATTAATTGTTAGTATTTTTCCTTTTACTTTCAACCTTTGGGATTTTTTTGTTTAGGTTCGTCTCTTTTTAATAAGTCCCAGAGGACTATATAGAGTACATTTTTGCTTCCAATGCTCACAATTCAGAGAAAGTAAATAATGTATATTTATAGATATATACATATACAATAAGAAAGCTTATTTTTAAATTCAGGTTAATGAAACATACTAAGTTCATATTATGTTTTTAAGTATTTATCTTTGAAATGGAAGTAGATGAATGAGTCTGGTAGAATGTAGATTAGATACCTATTTCTTAGATTGCAGGGATTTTTTTTTTATTACTCTGTAGTATAGCTTACTTATAGGAAACACATATATATTCTTTAATTATTACATTAAAATAGATGATAAAGAGAATTTTCAATTAATCAGATTTCTCTCTAACAATTAGACAACTACACTTTAGATTTCAAATAAAGATCCTAAACTTTACAAATCCAAATCTAAATCATTGATTCTTGAGCATCCCACTCTATCCACCTCCAAATCTGTTGCTTTTCCAGTCTCTCTCAGACATTTTGGAAATTATCTTTGACATCTTCCTCTCACTCCCTACATCAAATCCATCTATAAGTCCTGTTAACTCACAATATTTCAAATAAAATTTGTTTTTACTATCTCCTCTGCTACTATTCTAATTCAAGCAACTATACTCCAATTTGATGCACTCCATCAGTTTCCCAATTGTTTGGCCTAACTGTACTCTTAATTCATTCTACATAATTTAGAGCAAAAGGGTGCTATCAAAAAAAATGTCATTATCCTGGCTGGGGTGCTCAGTGCTTGAGAGTTGGCCCATGTACCTGGAAGTCATGGTTTGATTCCAGGTCAGGGCACATTCCAGGTTGCTGGATCAATCCCCAATAGAGGGCAACTGATCAGTATTCCTCTCCTTGATATTTCTATCTCTCTATCTCTCTCCCTTTCTCTCTAAAATTAATAAAAACATATCCTATATAATAAAAGGCTAATATGCAAATTGACCAAATGACGGAATGACCAGTCACTATGATGCTCACTGACCACCAGAGGGCAGGCACTCAATGCAGGAGCTGCCCCCTGATGGTCAGTGCGCTCCAACAGCACCACTCAGCTAGAAGCTGGGCTCAATACTGGTGAGCACAATGGTGGTGGCAGGAGCCTCCTGCCTCCGGGGCAGTGCTAGGGATATCCGCCTGCTGGCTTAGGCCCCGCTCCCTGAGAGCACAGGCTGGGCCGAGGGCCCCCCACCCCAAGTGCATGAATTTTGTGCACCAGGCCTCTAGTCTTCTATAATAATAAAAGTGTAATATGCTAATTAGATCAGACCTCCTTCCGGACGACCTTCTGGATGAAGCCAGGGCTGTGAGGGAAGCCCCGGTCCTGGGTACTGTCCGTGGCCAGAGGGGAGCACCAGTCTCAGGTGCCAGAGGGAAGCCCAGGACCCAGATGCCAGAGGGAACCTGGTGCTGGCAGCCTACTCTTGCACGAATTTTGTGCATCAGGCCTCTAGTTTAAAAATATCGTTAGAACTTCCTTCTTTCAAGCTAAGATGCTCCAATATCTCCCTATTGGACATGTAAGAAAATCTTAATTTCTACTTGGTCTGGCACTCATCTCCTTATCTGCCCTTATTTTCTAATTTTCCCTCTGTCTAGCTTAGAAATCTGGAAGAATGAAAATGCCATTAAAAGGTGTGAGTTAAGCCCTGGCCCAGTGGCTCAGTTGGTTGGAGGGTCCTTCCATACACCAAAAAGGATTTCTCATCAGGGCACATACTTAAAGGTTGCAGATTTGGTCCCCAGTCAGAGTCTTTGTGGGAGGAAATCAATCAATGTTTCTCTCTCACATCCATGGTTCTTTCTCTCTCTTCTCTCTCTCCCTCCCTCCCTCCCTCCCCCCAATAAAAACATATTCTCATGTAAGCATTTTTTAAAAAGTGTAAGTTAATAAGGAGGAAGTGCTAGTTTCACTTGTTGCTATCTAGAATGAGCAATAGACTCTCTGTCTTGAAATGTCCTTCCCTTACCTCATTTTTCTTGCCTCCACTCAAAATCACCTTTTTAGAGATAAGTTCTCCCTTCCTCATTCTCATTCTTCTCTCCATCTCTTACTTACTTTAAATTCCTCATAGTACTTATTGCTATATGAAATTGTTTTCCACTTTCATTTGCTATTTGTTTATCATATATCTTTCAGTAGATTGTGAGCTCCAGGAAGTTGAATCTTGTCTTGACTATCTTTTCTAGCACATGTTAGAGCACCTGATATATAGTAGGTGAGCAACTATATATGTATTGAATGAATAAGTGAAAATAGTACTTTTATTTCTTTTAATTTTTAGTACTATCTTGTCAAGTTACACTTTATAATGGCAATAGCATTCTTCCAAGTTTCCAGGATATAATATTTAATTATTTTTTATTCTTTCTCCCAAGGCTATTAGTTCTTATGTTCTACCTTTTATATGCTTGTATAAACTGTTTTTATTACTGCTCTCCCAGACAATTGAAATAGTCTCCCAATTATTTCCTGCCTCAATCTTTCACACTATAATCCTTTCTACATTCTTGTTAGAATGCAGTGTTCTTGAAGGGAACCTAGATTACAAAAAAGCCTTTCACTTCCTCCTCATTAGACATATGTCTCTTTTTGGCATTTATGGTATTCTGTAATGTGTTTCTTAACTATTTTTTTAATGTCTCATGCTCTCCTTTTATCTTTTTGATCCCAAATATTTCAATTGCTTTTACTGTAATTATAACATACCCAATACTTTCATACATCCTTCCTTGGGTCTTTTACTTCACTTGAAATAATATTTTTCTTCTTCTGTTAGTATCTGAAAATATCTACCATTCAATGTCCACCTAATATCTGAGCTCTTACATGAAGCCTTCTCTAGTTCCACCATAGTAATACTATTGCTGACGTTTATATTTTGCTTAATATTGAGCAATAAGCATTTTTTTCACAGGCGTATTCTTAATATGATCCAATATAACAAAGATGTAATACGCAAATGGTTGTTTTGCCACGAAGTATAACAACTGACCATGTAAGGACCAGATCACGGATCAGCAGGGGGGTAGGGCAGCAAGCTACAAGCTGGCAGTGGACAGCTACAGGAGGAGGAAGGGCAGAAGTGATGAGGGGAGTGGGGAGCAGAGGGAGCTACAGGAGGACAAGGCAGCAAGCTATGACGGGGCCTAGGGGACTACAGGAGGGCGGGGCAGTGGGCAGAGACCTACTGGAGGGTGGCTGAGAGCTCCTGGTGCCCGGATTCATGTGTAAGGATACTAGTTGTCATATATGAAAGAATCTCATATTACCTAACAGTGAAATGTTAGGTCTTCTTGGAAACAGTAAGTTCCTTAAAATGAAGGACTATTTCCACATTATTTATAGCATCTTACCACAAAATACATTTATAAATACAAATTTTAAAACTACAACCCATATATATATATATATATATATATATATATATATATATAGTATAAATTAATGAGTTCTTTATCATTTGTGGTTTGTAGGATCATATCATTACTTTCTGTCCTTTTCTTTATATTAACAATGGTTAAATAACTATAAAGATAAATTAAGTAAAGATGTTTTAATACATTTCTCAGCTAATTATAGTAAGTAAAGTGTAAAGGACTAAATTATTAAAATGGTAAACAGAGTTTGGTAGAGAGTAGGGGACAGCATGACTTAAAGTTGGTGAACACTGAGGCAGGAAGCTAAGAGAAATAAAATATGTCTCTGTTGTGAAAAAAATTAACATAATGTTCACTTAGGAAAATTTTAATGCATTATTCCAACATCTAAAAGCACCAAATAAATATATTTCATGGTAAGGAAGAAGAATAAGCAATTGATTGTATTTAAATTTGGAGATTTGTGTGCAATTAATTATTGGAATTTAAAAATAGATTGACATGTCTTTAGCCACAATAAAGGAAAAACTAATCTCAGGAATAATGGAAGAACAGATGTCAAAAATGAAGTCGATTAAATTTGGAATACTCTATCCCAGGATGTCAGGAAAGAAGGGTTCCAGCTCTGGTTTTACCCAATTAGCTTTAAGGTCTTGAATAACTCACTCTCTCTGACCCTCTATAAGTATGTTTGACTAAGGAATCTTTAAGACTTTTCCAGATTAAATATATCTAAGTCAGTGAATATGAACACTGGGAGAATACAAAACAAGGGGACAGGTGTATGTAGTTAGACCCTATTAAGATTTGAACTCAATATGAGGCAAGATTGAGAACAAATAATTTATTATCATAATAATTAGGACATGAAACATAACTGGAAATTTCTGCAGATATTAGTGCT